TGTTCCTACTGCACCTGCTTCTTTCACTGGTCATCTTGTGAGGCACATCTCTGTCCCCGTGGGTGGTAGCCGGTGGCCTGCTCTCCTCCTGTGGGGTACTGCCCCACATTCCCTGTGGTCACTTGCAGGGCCTTCCAAACTGTCCTGTAGGAAGCCAGGCTGGAGCTGAGGCCCGAGACAGCTGACATAGTTGTTTCTTTAGGACAAGAACCTAAGTGTTAAGAAGCCAGAAAGGCCTTGAACTTGAAGCTAATGGTAGGATTGACTTAATGTTCCTCCAGAACCTCTGGAGAGAAAGTTCTGAATATTAATAGAAGTAACCGCAGACTGGAGGCTGGGGGAGGGGCAGCCACCTGTTTGTGGCTCCTGCCATGGGTTTGTTCTGATGGTGTTGAAGCTGGTGCAGTCACTTGCTTTTCCTGTTTGATCACCTCAAGTCACCCTTCTGCCAGGAGGGTGTGTCCTTCAGAGACGACTGGCGAACACTTGGTTATTCGTGTATTATTTATGTTCCTTCTGCTTCCTGAAGAGATTTGGTGATCCAGGTTAGCTTCAGTCAAAGGCTTTCTTGACCAAGGAGTTGAGTGCAGAGCTTTATCCTTCCTGACAATCAAGGCAAAAGGACAGGGCTCTTCTGGAATCAGGATTTTCATTTCACTGGCCAACAGCAGAGAGTCTGGCCAATCTGGCAGCCAGTGTCCTGACACCAAGACCTGCAGGAGATTGCTTGGCCAAGGAAGGATCAGTCAAGAGCATGGCTGCTTTAAAATGCGCCGGTGGTCTTTGTGTGTTTCTTCCTGCCCAAGATTTCTGTTTTGTTTTGATAAGACATGGTCTTGCTGTGTAGCCAAGGCTGACTTCGAACCTGTGATGCTTGTGGCTCAGCCTCCTTAGTGCTGGTGTTACAGATGTGAGCCACTGTACCCGTTCCCTGCTTCCTCCCTCATTTGTGCAGGTCTAGAGTATTGTAAAGGTTGAACGATACTGGCTTCCCTTTCGAATGGGGTTTGCTTTCTTTAGAGCTTGTCCTGGCTCCACCCCCAACTCTGGAGGAAGAGTCATGTCACACTGGTGTCTTGGGAGAAATGAAACTGACCCAAATTGCCCAATGAGGAGGAAGTTCTGATCTCTTCAACCTTGCTGAACTGCTGTCAGCCAGAAGTGCTATCTCCAACACACCCTTGACCTGGGTGGCCTGGAGGCCTTCCCTTCCTGGACTCTAGCTTGCTTTGCTCAGGCCTGTGCCTGTGACCCCCACCACCAGCAAGGAAGCCTTCTGTCTTTTGCCTCTAGTTGAGATAGAGGCGTGAAGGGAAGCACCCTCCTCCATTCCCTACCCCCCCACCCCCAGGCAGGAACCCAACACAGAAAGAGAAGGGGACAATCTGGGGCAGTGAGTCCTGCCTTGTTAAGCCTTGAGTGTGGTTAAGTAGGGTTGAGAATTGTCTGTGGCCCCCTAAGGGTGCCAGTTGGCAGAGAGAATTCTAGAAGAGGAAGGGACAGAAAAGAGGCAGTGGGAGAACTTTTTACTTGACACCTCAATTCTGTCTTGACTGTGGGGGCGCTGTCACACTTCTCCTATGTTACGGAGTCCCACAAGCCTGGATCAATCAGCCCCGGGTTTTCTCGCCCCGGCTCTGATGTCCCGACGTCTGCTCTTCTTGTGTGTGCACATGCAAGCGGACGTGCACTTGGCTGTAGGCCTCACAGGGCACTGTTGAGTGTTGTTTGAAAATCATAATCATTTTATATGTTTTTTTTTGAGACAGTCTCTCCCTGGTTTGGGACTTGTTGATTAGGCTAGGCTGTCTGGCCAGGGAGGCCCAGGGATTCTGTCTCGACCATCAATGTGGGATTCCAGATGTAATGTCATCGTGCCTGGCTTTTTCTTTTCTTCTTATGTGAATGGGTGTTTTGTCTGAATGTTTGTGAAATGCTCATGCCTGGGGCACAGGAGCCCAGGAGAGGGACTGTAGTTACAGACAGTTCTGAACTATCTTGGGGATGCTCGGAATTGAACCCTGGCCCCCTGGAAGAGCAGGCAGTACTCTTAACCACCAAGCCATCTCCAGCCCCCTGGCTGTTTAAAATACAGATTCTTGGGGTGGAACTCAGGCCTTTGTGTTTGTAAGGAAGCACTTTTCCTGAATGAGTTACCTTCAATGCCTGTGGCCTGCTCCTTTGCTTGTTTGTTGTTTTCAGGACAGGCTTTCTCTGTGTAGCCTTGGCTGTCCTGGACTCACTGTGTTAGACCAGGCTGGCTTCGAACTCCCAACGATCTTCCTGCCTCTGCCTCCCTGAGTGTTGGGATTAGAGGTTCGTGCCACCACGCTTGGCTCATAATATATTTTGGTTTTGTCTTTCCCCTTCCTCAGCTCCCAGATCCTCCCCACCTCCTACCCATCCAATTTGTTCTCTATCCTCCCAAAACAAAAAATCAAAATAATAAAAAATTCACAAAACCAGTAAGAAAAAAACCCAAATTATCCCTCCTTCACACACATGAAAAAAACCCAATTACCCCTCCTTCACACACATGCACAAGCTTCTGAAAGCGCCTCATGTGATTCTGGTTTGCAGCCAAGTTTGGGAACTGTTATCTCAAGTGGCAGGATGGAGACCAGGCAGAAGTTATCAGACGCCGGCTGAGCTGTGACTGAAGACCGAGAGTGGAGGGAGGCAGGGGAGGGCGCGGGCTGGCTGGCTTTTGGCCTGAGGTCAGGCGACCGGAGGGTGAGAGAGGCACAGTCGGACGACCTCTTTCTAAGAGCGGATGTGTCTGGGGGCAAATGTGGGAGGATTGAGTTCTGGCACACACCTCGTGCCCACCAGCCGCTGTTCACCAGTGCAGGGCGCCCACCAAGGCAGGAATGGCCACTCGTGACATGCTTAGAAGTTCCACCGAAGAGGGCGGATCTAGTCAGTTGGGGTTAGTGCCGGTGCCGGAAATGTTTGCTGACTGTTAATGGCCACGGTGCCGTTATCATTTTTATCTGCTACCGAAAGGTGATTAGATCTACTGAGCAAAGGGTGACAGGCCTCTTAAAGGACGGCCTTTTAACTTCATTCTTGGAGTTGGGAATGAGAACAATTAGCAATTAAAACCTCTAAGCTGGGGCTGGGGACAGCTCCAAAGTAAAGCACTTACCTGGCAAGCAGAATGATTGCTGGGGAATTTGCTCTCCCCTCCCCCAGACGGGGTTTGTCTGCATAGCTTTGGCTCTTATGGACTCCCTTTGTAGACCAGGCTGGCCTTGAACTCACTTAGATCCGCCTGCCTCTGCCCCTGTGCTGGGATCACAGGCGTGCACCACAAATTTGCTCTTTAGCAACTTAGGAAGTGGCAGAGGGACCCACTACAAGGCCCTGCAGGCTCTGCCCTGCTGTGAGGGATTTTGTCTGCCTCCGTGGTAATGGTGGAAAGGGGTTGTTTGAGAGATTTCTGGGTCTCTCCTCTCCCTGGAAATAATAAAGCAGGGGCTCTAGTTCTGCCACGTTTCACATTTGTGGCAACCTCCAGAAGAGGATCAGCTGCCTCCTTGAGCTGTCTCTGAGGGAGGGTTCCTGGACTATGTGCTCTGATAGTCTCTCTTCAGAAGTCAGCTGTTAGGCAGCCCCACATCACAAGAGTAAATGACTACTGTCTCCTAGCCATGGTGTTCAGTCAGTTAGAGTTAAATGCCTGTTGGGTGGCTTTAAACTGGAAAGCATTTTTTTTTTCTCCTGAATTGTGGATTAGGTATGGGGCAAGAAAAAGCTGAGTCCTTGAACTAGCGTGGGAGGCCTGACTTGTCTTCAGGGCTGGCGGGACGGGTGCTTGTGCAGTTTCAGCTGTCCTTAGGGAAGACAGCTTGGACAGATACCTGAGAAAGAATGCCACAAAGAGCAGAGACCTGCCGAGTTGCTAGGAGGTGGGCAGAGGCTGGCTTAGGTGGGGTTTAGGATATTTAATGGTTTCTTAGTCACTCAGGGCTCTATTGCTGTGAAGAGACCACGACCAAGGTAACTCTTAAAAAGAAAGCCTTTAATTGAGGACTTGCTTACTGTTTCAGAGGTTTAGTCCATTATTGTGGTGATAATCAGGCACTGTGCTTGGGCGGTAGAATTAGGGAAAAGGGAGAGAGAGAGGGAGAGTCTGGGCCCCCCACCTACAAGGCTTCACCTACTCCAACAAGGCTATACTTCCTAATCCCCCACTCCCTGGTGACTAAGCATTCCAGTGTCTGACCCTATGGGGGCCATTCTTACTCAAACCACCACGACAGGAAACACCTAACAGATTTTAAATGGAGGAACTATAGAGTCTGGGGGTTGGAAAAGTGATGGAAGAGTTAAAGACAGAACTGAAGATTGTGTGAAAACTGGGGAGGAGGTGATGGCTGCTGGCCCTGGGGCAGGGAGGGATGGGGTTGACACGACTGGCCATGTGAGGTTCAGGCCAGTTTGGGCAGCAAGAGGAGAGGCTGTGAGTCTCTGCTACAGGATGCTATTACTGAGTGTCCTAATTTAGCTTCATTGAAAATTAGCTCTCCTCTTGCCCAGTTGTCCTCCTCTAGTTCTCTATTCTCTAGGAATGAACTTAACCTTGGGTTTTTGTTTTGTTTTGTTTTGATCAGTCTCCCGTAAGCCTAAATTGGCCTTATGTGTCAGGAGGATGGCTTTGAACTGTGTCTTCTGCCTCCCAAGTGTTGGAATTTGGGAGCTCACCAGGCCCAGCAGGTTTTGTTGGGCTGCTTTGTTTCTGTGCTGCTGGGGTTCAGCTAGACTCTTGTCCATGCTGGAAGAGCTCCTCCACAGGGGGTGCACTTGCCACCTGGAGAACAAAAAAGACAGCTTTGCTGTGTTGCTCAGGCCGCCCTGAAACTCGCAACCCACCAGCCTCAGCCTCAGCCACCTGAATGCTTGGGTTGCAAGCCTGCGTTTCCTGAAGGGCTGAGTGATGCCTGACGGCAACCGTGTAGTGTATATTGTAATTCATTTAACCTATTCTCCCCTTTCAGGTTGACCAGTATCTCTACCACATGCGTCTCTCAGATGAGACCCTTCTGGAGATTTCTAGGCGGTTCCGGAAGGAAATGGAGAAAGGACTTGGAGCCACCACGCACCCCACTGCAGCTGTGAAAATGCTGCCCACATTCGTGAGGTCCACTCCGGATGGGACAGGTACTGTGTGGGTGGGCTCCAGGGAGGGTCTCTGGACTGAACACAGAGAACTAGTCTTAGTCAAGGTCCCTTGGTTTCACCTTTAAAGGCCAACGCAGACTGCTGCAAACACTGGGAGTTGCGAGGAAGGCTGTGGGATGGGGTGACATCCGACAGCTTGGACAGCCAGAGTGAAAACTCTTTGTCAGTCAGTCCTCACTGGGCACTGCTGACAGCCATTTGTTTCTGCTCATGTGCTGAGCAAGGCTTCTTGATTGAGTTTGGGTTTCCCAGTCCCACACAGATAGCACGGCTGGTGGTTGGCCATGGCAGCCGTGGTTGGTGGATGTGGTAAAGTCCCTGCTGCAGGCGCGGCTGGTATACCCTGCCCTCCACCTAGGGGCAGGCTTCTCTCCCAGAGGCCCTTCACGATATAACCTGACACCTTAGTTCTGACGCCCCCTTTTCCCCCTTCTTGCCCTCCCTCTCCTTGCACTCACCCTCTAAGCTCACACTCCCCTTCCCCTTCCCTCTCCCGTACCCCAGCGCCATTTCTGGTGTTTAGATTATTTCATTAGCCCCATGAAAAACTAACTTAAGTAAACTGGAAAAAAATGTGAAGGGCCATTGTATATATTCCAGTAAAACTTTTAAAAAAATATTTGTTTTATTTTTATGTGTATATGTTTTGCCTGTGTGTGTTTCTGTATACCACATAGGTGTCTGCCTGCAGAGGCCAGAAGAGGGCATCAGATCCGCTGGAACTGGAGTTACAGATGGTTGTGAGCTGCCATGTGCTGGGAATCGAATCCTCTGGAAGAGCAGCCATTGCTCTTGACTGCTGAGCCATCTCTTCAGTCCCTAAGACTGAAATAAGCTGTTGATTGAGCTTTGTTTAATCTCCTATTTGGATACTCTCTCTTATGATTCCACCAAGCAAGAGATTGACATTGGAAAGATAGTGTAATTTGACTTTTTGGGGAGACAAACATCCATCCAGTCTTGTGAGCCAGTGAGTTTATTGGGGCCACTTACAGGAACATGGGGGGCCGCTTGTGAAAGCTTTGTTTTTACAGCTCCCTGCCCAACGTGCAGGTGGCTGCAGTCTCCTCCCACAGCATTTGCTACTGTTGGTATAGCCTTGGGGAGGGTCTTCCCATTGCCTTCCTGAGCCCTGTGCCCACCAGCCACCTCCCAGGAGCAAACCTTCTAACTGTAAAGGAAATAACCACACAATGGAGGGGTGAAGACTAGATCCCAGAAGGCCTTGCATGGGAGCGTGGCATGCTGACTCTTCCTCTGTTGATGTGGTGGAAAGGATGAAGTTTCTGGGGGGCGTGGACAGAATATTCGTTCCCGTGTTAGTTCATCAGCACGGGTTGGGTGTCTGGGAGACGTGGTGTCGCGGTGACATCATGTTCTAGATCGGCACTTGTGAGGCCCATAAAAGGTGGGAGTACTGGCATATTCTCTTTTTCTGGGGAGCAGGGGAGAGAGCTCAGGCCAGCGGAAGAATCAAGGAGCAGTGGGGCTGAGCGGCCGGCCTGGGGCCAGTACATTTGAGTTCCATGGAGGCCGTGCAGGGTTCGGGCTGTGCGAGCCAGCGTGTGTTGATGCGTGACCCTGGACCTCCGCGTGCCCTTGAGGACCACCATAGAGAGTCTCTGGGATCTGGTTTAGCGAGGCTTTGTACAGTTCCTAAAATAAGAATATTTGCTGAAGCCTTGTGACCTGGCTGGCCCCAGCACTGAGCATGTGTCCTTGCTCAGGGTCATCCATGGAATGTGTGTGTTCCCAGACCTTCAAAGAGCCCCTTGAAGTGGGGGAGAGGCCCTTGGGAGTTCTGCTGTGCACACCAGATCAGCATGTTCACCGTTCTTCTGTCTCGTTCTGACTGGAAACCGTGCCTGCGCCTATGTTTTAGTTTGACATTCTGATGAATGTATTGACTTCTGGAGGATAGCCTGTATTTCTCTAAGTGAGCACCTACATGTGTTAATTAATTTTTAAAGATTTATTTAATTTTGTGTATCTGAGTGTTTTGCTTGCATGCCTGTTGCTATGTCCATGCTAAGAGCCATGAGAGGTCAGAACAGGGCATTGGGTCCACTGGAACCAGAGTTACACGCTGGGTGGGAACCACCACGTGGGCATTGGGAATGGATCCTGGCTCCTCTGTAAGAGCAGTAAGTGCTTATAATTGCTGAGCCACCACCTTAGCCCTGGTTTATTTACATAAGCAAAAATTCTCCGAGGTGTATGTATGTATTTATTGTATGTGTGTGTGTGTGCACGCGCGCGCGCGTGCACTTGAGTGAGTGTGGAGGTCAGCGTGCTGTGGTTGCTCTTTCTGCCTCCTACCATGTGCGTCCTGGGGATGGAACTTGGTTTGTCAGGCTTTGCAGCAAGTACCAGTACTTTGAAGCCATCTCACCAGCCCTTAAGAAAGGTTTTTATCCTTCTACTTAGAATATGAGGCTTGGATGTTCAAATAATTTGCCCAAGTTCGCACAACTAATGACAGGCTGAGCCAGGAGTCAAACATGAATATGCCAAAGATGCCAGGTATGTGAGTGTGCCTGTGTGCCTCTGTGTGTGTGTGTGTGTGTGTGTGTGTGTGTGTGTGTGTGTGTGCGCGCCTCTGTGTGTGTGTGTGGCTCTGGGGCCCTTAGCAAGTGCCCGACTAAAGCTTTTGAAATAAGTTGGGCCGGTGGTCTAGGTTGTATGACAGACAGGTGACAAGTGTTGTATGTATATATGACACTTTCAACTCTATACCTTGAAGAGGTTCCCACGTTCCCAGCGCTGCCTATAATGCCACCATGTTGGAAATGCGCCTTTGCCTGAAGGGATACTGCACAGCACCTTAGGTAAGTGGGCATGCTTAAGTACGGATCGCACAGGATGATGAGTCGGGAGAATACCTGTAAGCCCCTAGTCGTGGGATGCGAATGAAACTCACATCCCTGAAAGCATCCTTGGGCTGGGTGTGGTCACTGAGAGAGGAGCTGGACTGTGTACAGATAGCAGATAGTCCTGTGCGAAAACCCCTCAAAAGGAAACTCAGTTTACAGAGAGCAGTCGCCTGGCAGGCAGGTGGTGGGGCAGGGATTTCCACGCAGTCAGCTCCGAGCCAGTGCCATCCCTGAAGTGCGCCACCAACGGCATGTTTCATTTGCCACGCACCTCCCACATGCCTAGCACAATGCCTTCATTCTTCTTTTGGGAGCCTGGCTCAGTTTGATCCAGAAAGTCCTCAGCAAGGTTCAGTGACCTCTGAGGCGGTGGAGTGCCAAGCTCCTGCGTCCTACCTTTGAAGACTGAGCCTTGTCCTCAGGGAGATAAAGCTTACGTAGATGAGACAGTTAGAGAGTCATATAACGCAAGCGTGAGGCCGAGACAAAGGGAGACCAGCTTGGTGATAGGCTGTGTGCAAACTGCCCGCAGCCCCTTATCTTGGTTGCTGTGTATTAGACCAGCATTTGTGCCGAGGAGGTCTGAGTCAACAGCGAGCACACAAGCAAGTTAATAAGAGTTTATGAGGTGCAGACAATCTCAGCAAAGACCGTACTGATAGCCTCCACAGAGTGGGTGGCGTTGGTGTATGCATGTTGGGCACTGGGTCAAACAAACGCTTGATCGTTGTTGTATTGAATTTTTTTCTTTTTAAAGGTAGGGTCTCACAGTCCCTGCAGTCCCCAGAGGCCACTGGCAGGGACCACCGCTGTGGAACGGGCATGGTTAGGCCCCTTTCTTGGGGAGCATGGAATGTCACAGGGCCAGTTCAGAGACTGAATGTCAAAGTCTACTTGTGTATTCTCGAGTGACCTGACCATTTGCTGCTTCTGGCACTGGGTGGCCAGGAAGGACTGGGAATCCTCTGTGACCCCAGAGCAGCCCTTAACCAGCTGTCTAGGTTTGCTCTACTCTTCAGAAGGACCCGGGTTCATCTCCCAGTACCCACAGCAGACAGCTGTGTGTAACTAAAGTTCCATGGGATCTGATACCCTCACACCAACTAATGCACATAAAGTAAAATTAAATAAATTATACATACCATTCCTCTTCTAAACTGGGGCAGTCCTATCCAGGAGGATGACCCCTTATCTGGCCTTTACTGCTGCTTGGCTGGGCTATCATGTAATGCTCTAGTCATCTCCTTGGCCCAATAGTCATCCATCCCCTACGGTGCTGTTCACACTCAAGCCTTTTGAAGACACAATCTGACCTTGGGAACAAGAGTCTTTGACAGTGCAACTCGCTAGGGGCTCGCGGCACCATTTGCTTCAGCTCTATGCTATAGCTCCTTTTGACACGACCTGGTTTTGGCAGCTATAAATTGGTGCCATCTTATGCCAGACCAGTGTCCTGACGTGCTCACACTTAAACATGCCATGAACTTCCACGTTAGGCTACCATTTTCCCCCATCTGGCAGATTCACACTAAGCCCTGTTGCCTGTGCCTGGAAGGTATTCTTTCATGAGCAGAAATGATCCGTTTATACCGTTCCCCTTCCTCCCCACTGTTCCCCTTCCTCCCGGTTGAGTCAGTGGCCGGGTTGCGATCAGCAACTGTGGAGATTTTAGGAGCTGTCTCCCATGCTCACTGTTGAAGCAGCTAATGGCAGGGAAATATTTGATCCACAGACTTATGATGGATTTAGTTTTTTACTCTTTTCTCTCTCTTTATTTTATTTCATTTTGTGTCTATTTTTTAAGACTAAGTATCCCTGGCTGGCCTGGAATACATATGCTATGTAGATCATGCTGTTCTTGAACTCATAGAGATCTGCCTCTGCCTCTTGAGTGCTGGGATTATAGGCGCAGACTCCAGTCCCTTCTATTTTTAAATTATGAATATGTGTGCACATGAGTGCAGTGCTCTGGGAGGCCACAAGAGGGTGTCAGATTCCTGGAGCTGAAGTTAAAGGCAGTTGTGAGCCGCACAGTGTGGATGCTGGGGACTAAAAAAGTTACTTGGAAGAGAACAGTACATGCCTATAACCAATGAGCCACCTCTC